CTTCATCACAATCATCTGGCTCTACAAATACTTCGAACCCAGCACCATTTGCCATGACATCCAATATCTCTCATGGCGATTCAAGAGTACAATTACTTGCCAATAACCTTCTGACTTTTTCTAAAAAGGGTGCTAGCAATAAAGGGGGTCTTACCACCACGCGGTCTGCCAAGAACATGCGTACGGTATTTTCGACTCAGTTGGCTTGCGACTGGCTGACAGAATACAGTACTGTATCGTCTCGTGAAGAAGCAGAAGGCATTGTCAATGAGTTTATAAAATATGGATGGATCGAATTTCAAGATCCAAAACAATCTGTACCAGCAAAAGCTTCAAAAACAATCATGCTGATCGTTACTGGAAAAGGCAAGGAAGTAGTGGCTGAATTCGAACACAAAGCAACTACTGCTACTTCACAGCCTGTTGCTAGATCCTCCTCTGCATCTAGTCTTGCACGTACCCGATCCTTGCGTAGTCAATCCACTTTACCATCCAGTGTCGATGAAGAAGATCAGCAAACAACGTTGCGTGAAATATTATCGCAAGACCCTGATACAATTATTGATTTACCCTCCTCATCTACATCACCATCCCCTCCAGCAAGACCACCTCGAAGCCGCCAAAGCACTCAATCATCTACTTCACGTCCATCAAGCACAGCTATCGAGTATCCAATCCCGGAATCCTCAGTAATGCATAATCATAATTTTAATTCATCAAAGGATGATCCCAAGGAAAGCAATGCTGCGCGCCTCAAAGTTATCTTGGATGATGCTCAACTACGATCACTCTTCAAGGACTTTCTTCGAGCTAACTTTTGTGAAGAAAATCTTGACTTTTGGATCGATTATTCCACATTGCGACGAAAATGCCGTAACCAAAGCCCAGCTATGCCATCTCAACAACAAAAAGATTTATTGGAAGATGCCTATGATATCTGGTCTACTTATCTGGCGCCAGGTTCGCGTTGCGAACTAAACGTTGAACATTCGCTACGTCAAGAAATGGCTCGTGTTGTCAATTCCATGGTACAACTCGTTCCCAACTATAGTGCAGGGCAATCCAAGACTTCCACGGTAGTTATTTCTACGCATTCTACATCGCAAGCTTTACGCATGATGCTCAAGTGGTTGGATCGGGTTAATGAACACATTTGTCGATTAATGGCATCTGATTCCGTACCCAAGTTTGTCAAGACACCAAGGTACCGCAAGATTCATGATGCAAAGGAACGGGAACAACAAAAACAAAATAAAAAGCATGAGGCAGTGGTCGACAGTGAGCTGTTTTCCAGCCCGTCTTTTGTTGAAAATAAGGCATAGTCACACTACATAATTCTAGTACATACATTTAGCGGAAACACATTCTATTTTTGTTTTTATTCTCTCCTTTTATTATTATTATTATTATTACTATTATTCCAAACCCTTTGTAGCAATAAACTTATAATGAGTCTCGCGCAATTTTATACTAAAATATTTGGTCTTGGCGTCATGCTTGGAGGAGGTGTTGAGTTCATGTTGGTCAAGAGCAACTATTGTATGTGAAAAAAAAAATACAACTTTTTCGCGTCTTTTTTTTTTTTTTTGGAAAATAACAACTTAATCGCGTTTGTTTCTATAGATCAAATGTTAGCTGCATCGGAAGCTAAGCAACAAGCAAAGCAACATGATCAAGAACAACAAGATATAGAACGCTTTAAACGAATCTCCCAAGAACAAAAAGAAGAACAATAATAATCGTGATAATTGACTCGATATGGATTTTACGAATAATACAACACTTTCAAGGAGTTAATAATTATAATCGAAATTTTGTGATATGCGAATTCGAGTATAAAATGTCATCTTTCTCCTTGTAAACCTTACAACGTTCAAAATTCACACATGTATTCACATTGATATTTATATCACCTCTCTCAACCCCCCAAAGGGCAATTTAGAAGCTCTGTGTACATATATAGAACATTTTAATTTACTATTATTATTCGTCATCATTGATCACCGTTGCATATAACTTTACTGCTCTTCTCATGTCGTAGTGTTTTCTTTTTCTTCTTCTTTTCTTATTTGCGGTATAGTTGTTTATTTAGTTGCTACTATATATACATATCCAGGTACAATAACTTTAGAAAAAGTAAAATTACTTGTTAATAATATTAATTAAGAGTTTCTTTACAGGAACACGGGTTATTCCTTATTCATTTCACAGAAATACAAACAACATGGTATAAATTTGATTAATATGTAGCTAGACAACAGTACACACACATTACCAATAGAGTTGAAACACTTCCCGTTTTGTACCATTACTCCCTTTATTAAACCTTTCTTACGGTTGGTATCGTGATAATGGATCGACAATTATATTTAGAAAAGCTGACTAAATAACACACGTAAATGACGGACATTGGCGTAAATGCTTTTCCAATTTACCCTTTCCATTGTGCGTGTTAGAAAAATCGATTTGCTCATGTTCTATCTAAGTACGATAATGATCTCTGGAAATAAACGACCGGATGATGTACTGGTTATTGTATTTGCATCAGTTAGTGTAATTCAATGATATACCGTGAATACACAATCCGTTACTTTGTATATACGTAGTACCAGCAGCAAGCCATTATTTGAAATTTTACTTTACCTAATAACAGTGACTGGATTTGATACACATGATATATAAAAATGAATTGCATTTATTATATATCTTTTTATTAATTCCCCTGGATTTTAAAAAATAAGTAATTTCCTCTACTCTCTTCCTGTATATAAAAGGCTTTTGTTGTTGCTTTTGATAGGAAAATATGCGGTGTCATTGATAATTTAATAACACACTCCAACATTATCATCAGCAGTAATGTATAATCTCGGATGATTAATGAGTAAGTTTTATTATAATTTATTATTATTAATTAGTCTAAATATACAAAAGTTACCAGACCCCTTTTCTACATTTTCTTTACAGCAACTCAATAAATAAACTATGTTGTGCAATAAAATGATTATCTGAAAGTTGACGACTCATCGATACTAAATGCAATGGTATTAATGTATTTTTAAATTAATCAGTCTTGTCTAAAATACCCGACAGTAAATAGCATGTTCCCACAACATAGACGATTCAGAATTTGAAATAGTGTAATTGGACAGTATGGATTTAATTATCTCGATATTCTTAGGTTGCTAGATTTAGTGATTAATAACTGTTACATTTTATTAACAAATCAAGATATTTCTAATCTATGCCGGATCCAAACAAAATGCTTATGTCATAAAGAAATAATAATGATATGAGTAAGCTAATAAACGATTATAAAGTAACCACAATGACACCCTTCCTCTTAAATCCGATTCTCAATAAATTATTAAATGTATAATAACTTCGCATATAAGCAAATTGTGAGGCCCTGGCTAGAAGAAATATCTTGACATATAAAAAAAATGATTTCGTATTAGTATTATTGTTTGGTGATTGATGTATAAAATTATTTACGTTATAGAACACAATGAGTGCTTACCACGTAAGTATAAGGGATGCTTCCTGCCGATGGCCACCTCCCATAATTCATCAACTTGTGACCATACTTGTACTGAGCAACTACATGGCTTTTTTACAGAAAACATTGCAGGAACTCCAAGCAAATGATCGTAGATGAAAGAGAACCAATCCAGGACACCCAGAAGATTGTTGTTGACAAAGGCAACGCTATAAAAATAAAGAAACAGTACGTTATAACAAATTAGATATATAAATACATTAAAGTTTAACATTGTATTCCAACGCTACCCACAAAAGAGAAATAGTAGTAATTACGTCTCATGTTTTTTTTTTTTAAAAAAAAAAAAACTTTGCTTGTGAGTGTTTGTAAAAGACGATTCGATGGAGAGAGAAAAAAAAAGAAAAAATATTCTCCTTTTATATATATATTTGCCAAGTGGATAAAAAGGGCCAGGACCCAATCTTATTGCTGGTTCTTTGTTTTCCTGTATTAAATTTAATTTTCACTACGGGAAAGAAACTTGTTAAATCTTGTTCATCCTGGTAATTTCAATAAAATCGGTCCAAACAGATACTTTACTAGACCCACAACAAGATTTAACAAGGTTCTTTCCAGTAGTGAAAAGACGTGATATTATTATTATTGTTATTTGTGATATTGATAATTTTAAATGGATAACATCTACACAATGGTTACAGCAGCTTTTAACCACTATATATTAATATATATTATGAAACTACTAGCAATAATCAAGATGGGATATTTCTTGTGTTGTATTCAGTAGTAATAATGTTAATCTTTCAGTAGAATAAAATATAAAAAACATCATCAAGAACTATACTTTTTGTGATGAGTATTTTTAGTGAACATTATATCATACTTTCCGGATATTGTACTTCATAATCGTATCAAACATTATTCCTATTTTCAGTGATACCCTCATAAGTGAAAAGATATTGTGTTAATTTCAAGCTATGATCTTTTGTTGACACAAGACTGTCACTTTTGCATTGTTATTATTATTTGTCCCTTTTCTTCTTAAAACATATTATTATTTTATTCCTTGAGAATAAGTATGTATAGTTGTTTCCGTAGTTAAATTAGTAGTGACATCCTTTTATTAATTAACATTATGAATAAAGTCATATCATTTCGGTAAATAAAATTTATAGTCACATCACTACTTTCAAAAAATAAATAAGAATAATTTTTTTAACGAGAGTAGTAGCAACCAACCAAAAAAATAAATAATAATATGACGAAAGTGTCGTTTCTGTTTTTGCGTCGTCTCGCGGCGACGCCAAGCCAGGAGCACGAATACTTCTTTACAACAATCAACAAATGTAAAAGGACAAGAACAGGGATTCACCAGGTCAAAAGCTAAAGATTTATTTTTACAAAAACATAGCCTTTACATAATGCTATACATCTATACTGTTTGTTTAAATCTATGGTAACACATTCCCAAAATTAGAATTAGCAAAACCACCTCTTTTTTTGGTACCCATGCCGGGATTCGAACCCGGAACCTTCAGATTAGGAGTCTGACGTCTTATCCGTTAGACTACACAGGCGACAGTCTCTTTAATGCTTTGTGTGGTGGTTCTTCTGGCCTCACCCACTTGACAACAAGGGGTCTAGATCCAAAATCTATTCCTTTGATGTTATTGGCTCAGACAGACTAATAGTTCATCCGTGTCAATCGTGTCATTTTCCTTTTTCATCTATTAATATGCCAATCTGTTATCTTTATATTTTTATTTTCTGTACCTTTTTCTTCCCTTTAATATTATTATTTATTATTTTATTAGTACTTTCATTATATTCTCTATCTTTATTATTCTTATTTGTTATCTATGCATATCTATACTATTTTTATTTCTATTTTTATTATTCCCTTTTTTATACTTCTTTAATTTTCAAGTTTGATCTATATATTTATATTTTCTTAATACTAATTATCCTTTAATCAAAGTCAGTGATATATTATACTAGAATGATCTACTAGTAAATAACATTATTATGTTAGATAGACAAAATATATAAATATGAGCAAATTTGAACAATAAAAAGATTCCCAACCATATTCTTATTCATCTCTTTTATTATTACATTTAAATTTATTACTATTTTAGTAGTTACTGTTTATGGTCTATATATTGATGTTTTTAATAGAGTACTTCTAAATAAATAAGAGAAACACATATACACACACATATGCATATATATACCAACTTTAGCATAAACATATAATATAAGTAATTCAATATGATTTTGGTTATCTTTTTGCTTATGTTTTTATTAATTTCAGAAAATAAAGTCAATTTAATGAAGTTCATTAATAAGATAATTACCATTTGACCATCAGTTGAACTAGTTTTTATTAATCAACCACCTGTTCAGTTCTAGTTTAAATTTTCGAACTATTTGTTACTAACTATTCAACTTCAGTTCAAACTTCCCAGTTGACCATTTGGAACAGAAACTCTTCTGGATTCCGGGTACTATTTGTTTCTACCAGCTCATTTTTTTTAAAAAGCAAAATATAAATGTGTAGGTTTCAATATTTTTTTTTAATATTTTAAAATAATTATAGAACTTTTTCATTTTTAATACAATATGCCCCTCCTAGGGCCAAATTATATTTTATTCATATTCTTGCTATTATTGTAACATATAAAAGTAATGGTATTCATCTCTGATAACCATATTGACCACTTGACCAAAAATCATAATCAATACTCAATTTTTTGCGTTGACATGTCGAATAAATAAACAAATCTGAATTACTCTTCTCTATTTAATTTACCTTCTTATAATCGACATATATTACAGAGTAAGAAGAAAACAAGCTAAAAAGTCCCTGCTTCCTTTTTTCCTTTCCTACCTTCTTCTTCATGCTGCTGTTATCCCTTCCTACTGTTTCATCTCTTCCTAATATATACAACTACTAATATTTTACACCTAACATAATATACCTTTTCAAAATAATGAATATGCTCACTTCTTATCATTATCATATTATATATAAACATAACGTAAAGCTTTTTTGTTATATGAATGGTGATGAAACATAAATATGTAAAAAAAAAGCTGGTTCCTCATCTTTTCTGTATGTTTATATATGGACTCACTACCTCTATATATTTTTGTCTTAAACATAATAATTGATTATATCTATAAATAACGTATTTATTCTTTACTATAATAATAGCATTCCCAGTAATCATTGTGAAAAATATAAAAGGTATCACGAATAGAAAATAAAAACGATATAGGAATACGTTGAGACTGTTATATAGATTTATTTCAATCAAAGTAATGATGATTCAACTATCTAATAAAATTGAGGTCCTTTTATACTTTTCGATGAAGTGTTTATTTCTAATTATTTATCTATTGTCGGGTACGTGTTTATATGAGTCCATAGAGATGAGGATTGATATTTGTTATTGTTAATTTACGCCTTATGCTAAGAAGGCGTTTATTCATTTCTTATTTTCTTATTGTTGAACATTATACCTTATTTGGTATACCGTTCTAATTCACACCATTTCATAATAATGGCGTTATTCTATTTTATTTATTATTTATTCTTTTCTTCCTCATTTAAATTTAGATACACCTATTTGGCGTATTCTTTTCATATGGACACGACAATCATTAATTAGCTACCAAAAACACGTTTACTTTTTTTTGATCACCATCTATTGTTTATTATATAAAACAGAAGTACTAATAAGTATATTAACAAAAAGTCTATATTTTTCTTATTTTATTTATATTAATTTCATAGAGAGAATTTAGAGTCGATTGATTGTGTGTGATGGAAATTTTTTATTGATAAAAAAGCACCATTGTCATTGTCATTCTGCAGCATAATATTAAGTTGGTTAATTTACTATTTCTCATGCAACCTATCAAACTTTTGAAGCATTGCTTTGAAAGAGTTAACTATAATGATTAATAGCATCAAAATATATATTAATTTTTTGGCATCAAAACAAAGGGCGAATAGAAAATACGGTTCTGGTTAGAAAAAGCATAGCATACTAATAGGCTATACAAATAGCACTCACCTTCTTTAAATGCTTTCATATTATTAAATGTTCTTCGAATGCTGATACAAGCGAGGAATTGATGGGGTATTTGTACAGCACTTCCATATGGTTTTTTGTTTGTTATCACGCATATCCGATTCTATTAAAATCATCAACAAATTATTTCTTGCTTCATCGCCACTTTACTACTCATGACTAACTTCATGACAGCCAGTTGGTGATGATCTTATACTTACACATTACCTATTATTATATATTTTTAAAGAGAATTACTACACAGGTAGCAAGATCGGTAGAATTCTTAGTAATTTGTTACCTATGTGATCAACCAAAGTTTGCTACCTGTGATGTCTCCTTATCTTTTCCCTTTATTACTCATACCTATTGAATTGCTGTATTATCAATGAAATACCATAATAAATAAAGAAAATTATAAAAAGGAAAAACCCATACACAAATATAACACTCTCATGACAGCATTAATAAAACCGAATAAAATGACTTCAATAATAAAAAAGACTATATAAGGATTGTGTTTAAAAATCAATACCCATTTTTATCTTTAAAGTAATAGGTGGTTCTTTAGCGCATACAAGTATTTAAATGCTACGTATTTTAATTAAAACAAAAAAATCAGTATTATTGTGTTCATAGTTATTTCTATTGATTGTACTATGTGATACTTATTTCCCATGAGACAGATCTAGGAGAAAGTGCTGTTAAATTAAGCTAAACACTTACGTGTTCTAGAGTTTTATGCTTTTATCAGTGTCAAAAAAATGCACTGTCAAGCTAAGATGGATATTGTTCACAGCATTAGCTTTGTTAATGCAATAATTAAATAGGTACGATTAATGAAGGGGAAGGATAAAGAGACAGCACAGGTGGCAAGATTTAGCACCAGATTATCTTATGGAGTTTTTTTAACCAGTCCTTGAGATCCGGCTTTAGTGGGTATGCGATTTGTAAAGCCTTTATTATTTTGTAAATGATAAATAAAATATATAGAACGCCTAAAAAAGAAGAAACATACTCGAAAAACTCCGCTGCCTTTTTTTTTTTTTAAAGAATAGAAAAAACGTCGAGTTACAATACGCTGCTTGACTAACAAGTTCATGGTCCTGATCTCGTTTTTTACTTTGGAATCATTCGGATAAAAACAAGATAATATAAAAGACTAGAAAATAATAGCAGATAAAATATTGAAGAAATATTTATATATCTATATAAACATATACAAAAGCATACTAAAGAAAAATGGATCCAAATCAGTCACCACCTAATAATGAAGAACATGAAAAACAACAATCACAGGAACAACAACTTACGGACGATCCCATGGAAGAATTACATGAAGAGACTGAACAAGAACGTATTGAACGATTAACAGCAGAAGCAGTAGCATCCATAAAGTCATTTGCAGAGTCACAAGATGACAATAAAGACAACCAAATCCAAAAAACGCCTCCTCCGGTTACTACAGTTACTTCCACCACTACCACTACAGCAACAACACCTGTTGCATTCGCTACACCACCACCCACTACACAACAACACCATGCACAAACATCGCCACAGCCACAGCACCATTCGCCAACGACAAGTGCAGCAGCCACGGTAGCAGTAGCTACTGCTGCCGCGAATAATATATCCACCCATGACCTTTCGAATCTCAACATGACACCAGCACAGTTTCAGCAAGTTACTGCTGCACAAGCACAAGCACTTGCTCAGGCAGCAGCAGCAGCTATGGCAGCAACCACATCTGCTGTTACTAGTACAAGTACGGTAGCGACCACATCCACTGCATCAACCTCTATTGCGAGTAACGACGCACATAATAATGGACAACATTTGTTTGCTCTCAATACCAGTTCACCACCCATTGTGTCTCATACTGCACCAGCTAATGGAAATAATAATGATCCACAACCCATGACTGGTGTAGTACTGAATGATGGAAACTCAATACCCTCAGTTTCACAACTTACAGCAGAAATGCTCAAACGAGAGCTAATCAATCAAAAGGTGAGATAAAATGATTTTATTCTTTTCTTATTTGACAAGGTTCTCAGGGATATAGAACTGTGAGAGGGCAAGGGAAAACTTGACGATATTTTTTTTTGGGAGAGAGAAGGGATGGATGAGTAGATTTGCTATCGAGAAAGATATATCCGGATTTTTTTTTGGCGCATAAAAAAAAAAGAAACAAAAACTAACGTTTTATATAATATTTTATTAGGTCCGTGCAGATAATCGAGAACGGAAAAAGAGATGGCGTGCATTGAATGAAGAACGAAGTATGTGTTTTTTTAATTTATTTACATATATCATATAAAATTTTCACCGTGTTACTTAACATTGACGATGTTTCTAGACAAAGATAATGATTTACGTTGCCGTGTCAACAAACGAGCGAACAAGTTATTTGGTAAAGAGGATACCGAAAACAAACGGCGCTGGGTCGAGGAAGAATTTATGAAGCGAAAGCAAAAACGCAAGGAGAAAGAACG